CTCGAAGTTGGGCGTCTACGAAGTCCTTCATTCTGTTTAACAATACTCGGTTGAAGACTTTGCCTGGTATTGAAAGAAGAGTGATGCCTCTGTAGTTCTCACACTTTCTGAGATGCCTTTCTTTGGTATTTTGATCAAGTATCCTTCTTTCCAATCTGATGGTATTTGTTCCATATCCCAAATCTTGTTGAAGAGGATGTGAAATATTTTCGCAGTTGCTTCTATATCTGCTTTCATTGCCTCTGCTGAAATGTTGTCTGGTCCTGCTGCTTTGCTGCTCCTGATTTGTCTGATGGGTATTCTGATCTCCTCAATCGTAGGTGCGCCAATATTTATTGGGAGGTCCGTGGATGCTGCTTCGATGCTTGGTGTGTTCAGCGGAGCTGGTCGATTCAAGAGTTCCTTAAAGTGCTCTACCCACCTAATTCGCTGTTCTTCTGTGTTGCTGATTACTTTGCCTTCCATGCTTTCAACTGATCGTTCTGGTTTACGATAGTTTCCATCGAGCTTCTTTGTTGTTTCGTACAATTGTCTCAAGTTTCCGTCTCTTGCAGCCTTTTCCGCCGTCATTGCTAGATAATCCACATATTTTCGTTTGTCAGCTCTAATGTTCTTCTTCACTTCCCTGTTTGCTCCTCTTTATGCAGCTTGCGCTGTAACTTTCTCTGCTCTTGTTCGGCTGACATTGATTGCTGCCCTCTTGTTCCTCCTTTCGTCAATTTTTGCGAAAGTACCGACAGAGATCCATTCCTTGTGGTGGTACTTCTTGTGACCCAGAACTTCGTGATATGTTGAAGTGATTGCCTCCTTGATCCCTTTCCAATTTTTCTCCAATGTTGCTTCCTCTCCATTGTGTAGATCCTGAAAGGCCTGGAACCTATTGGTGAGGGCTATCTTGAATTCGTTGAGTTTTACGGTATCCCGAAGAAAGGCTGTATTAAACTTCGGTGATGTTGTCTGCCCCGTTGTCCAGTGCTTCTTTAGTCTCAGTTTCATTTTGGCGACCAACAAGTGGTGATCTGATGCTATATCAGCTCCTCTATTGATTCTCACATCCTCCATTGTCCTTCTGAAAGTTTTGTTGATACAGATATGGTCGATTTGGTTCTGAGTAGTGTGGTCCGGTGAAATCCATGTAGCTTCGTGTATGCGTTTGTAAGAGAATACTGTGCCATTGATGACCAGTTTGTTGAAGGCACATAGGTTTGCAAATCTCTCACCGTTTTCGTTCCTTTCTCCCAGTCCATGTCGTCCCATGATGTCTTCATATTCAGTGTTGTCCATGCCAACTTTGGCATTCAGGTCTCCCATCAGAATGGTCAAATCCTTTGGTGAGCATTTGTCGACGATTGACTGCAGCCTTTCGTAGAATTGATCTTTAACGTCGTCATTGTAGTCATTGGTAGGTGCATAACATTGGATGATGTTCATTGTAATGTCTTCCTTCTTTGTTTCGAAGGATGCTTTAATGATCCTAGGTCCATGAGATTCCCATCCTATCAGTGCCTTTTGTGCATGTTTGGACAGCATCAGTGCAACTCCTTGTGTATGTGAAGCATTTTCCTCTTCATGACCAGAGTAGAACAGCAGTTCCCCTGAAGCTAGTCTCAGTTGTCCCACCTGTGTCCAATGCGTTTCACTGATGCCGAGCACCTCGAGGTTGTATCTTTTCATTTCTGCCGCAACTTGAAATAGTCTTCCAGTCTGCCACAATGTACGAACGTTCCATGTACCTAAAAAAATGGTTGCTGGGGTTGTCAGAAAAAGCATCGGTCTCGTGACTTTCGAGGGAACTCGGCTTTCATCACGAGACGTCATAATTCTTCTTCCAACTCCCAGGGCAGAGTTAAAATGGTTTGAATTATTTCTTCTGGTTAGCGTTTTTTTTGCAAGTTATTTTTTTGGTGGGACGGGATCGCCTACCTCATGCCTAACCCTCCTCCTTTATCCGGGCTTGGGACCGGCAGTAGACCCGAAGGGTCTACAGGCAGAGTTGAATTTATAACCTAACCAAGCAAAAATAACTCAGTGCGAGATGCTAGAAAACACGAAGTGCGTTGTGGCTCTTTCACGCCCCGTTTCAGTCATGTAGGTTAATCTAAATACACTGAAAATTTGAGACATAAATAGTGTGGCATGCAATCGATCAGTTGGCTGGAATTTATTTTGGAGTAAATCTAATGATATGATGTTCCAAAATTCCATGCTCAGTAGCGTCTAACCAAAAGCGAACGACCAATTAAATATGCTGATCTAAACAATCAGTTAGTCAGTAATTTTATATTGAAGGTCTTTTCTATCTTACCGTGTTGTATACGTCATTAAAAAATTTTATCTCAAAAATTTGGAAGCAGCAGAAGTTATCAACTTATAAAGACTAATCTGAAGCGACGGTTCTGTCTCAAAATGCATATGCAAGTTAACTATACAGACATTGCTGCTGTAGGTCTTCATTGAGACAATTGAATTTTTATGTTTGTTTAAAATGTTCGCTTGCCACGGACGAATAGGATACTTTGTTCGTTCTTCCCGTCCTTGACGTCCCATGTTGGGTGTGCGGGCTTTTGGTTTGCGACCCGTAAATTGATGCTGTGCCATTCGGATCCTCTATTGTTACGGTTAGTTTGCTAAGGGAATTTGAAATAATTTTATAGGATTATACCACCTCTAGGTTATCATGAGTACGAAAACCATATCATAATATCTAGTGAAAAATATTTGAAAGTCTAGCCATACCGTAATTCGGTTTTAGATGCAGTTTCTTGTGAGATCACAGTGTGTTGTAGAGGCTTCTCGAAGAATTGTAACTCTTTCTAAGATTGTCTGAACGGTTGATTTTCTTATCCGTAATCTCTCGATCAAAGAGTTTTCCCGATACCACTAAAACTTCATGGATTCTTCCCGAAGTTTTACTTATTTTGGATTAATATCATGTTCAGATAATATTTTTGGTCGCACTTCAAAGTTTTAAAAACTTATGCAACCTTCATAAGACTGGCAGGACTTTCCCTAAGTGTGAAGGATTGGGCCCGGGCGTGTTTGCCTCATCGATTTCCAGTGTTCATATGGAATATTATATGGCCTTTCCGGTGATAATCATTGTGTTATTGGTCTCTGAAGTGTTGTAAGAAGCTGTACAAGACTGTCATCTGTCGGTTCTTAACGACAAGTAAGGTTGACAAGCAAAAAATCCATATTGAAGCCTTAGGTAACCAGGTTCTTGATGGTACTTATTGTTTAGTATAGATAGGAAGCGATTCGGACTTGTGATCAAGCTAAATGTTAAGTAAGTAGTTTTAGTAATCACTAGTAAAATATCATAAAAGAAGTCTACCCATCAGTGTACGAAAACAAACACTTAAAGCTACTATGATTTTCCTTTCATGACGTAACAGGGATTAATCGTAGTGTATAACATAGATACATTCATACATCACTTTCTTAATAAGGTTGATCCGATTTCTAAAAACATTTCCCATGAGGTTTCAAACATCGAGTTAACTTTACAGTGAAATCTGAAGCTGGTCACATGGTTCAACAACGGCGGCCCTAATCAAGCAGTTGTGTATCCACTCCCCAATTTACTTAGCTATTGATTTTGATGTTATTCCACGAGTATTCATTCTCATTCCTTTCCTTTCTATACTTTTGCTTATTTTATTTCGATTTGCTCGCTCTTACTCTTAAGTTTCTCTTATTGTATTGACATGTTTAGATTTTCTATATCGTTATTTTCGCGTATTACCAAACATGAGTAGCTAAGCCTATATATAGTGTCCCAAATCTTACCCATTATTAAGAACAACACACTAATAAACATATCCAGTAAGAAGTTGATCCCGAATTGGATAATTGGTAAACTGCTTGCAAATAAAATTTCAGTAGAGGTTGTACTATGTAACCCATCAAAATAGAAAAGTGCTTGTCGTGTCATAGTTTTATTTCTTTTTAAATGGGAATACATACACCGAATCTACCTCGTCTGTATCCTTTGATGCCTCTTGCTATTCTTCATTGCTACATGCTTTCGTTTAGCGCGTTTCATGGTAGCGTTTTTCTGTTTTCAGTGAGTGGAGTTAGCCTGTTGATAATAAACAAGCCTTGTCTGGTTTTTGGCTTGCATATACAGCACATAGCACGTAACAAAAGTAGAATGCCGTGGATCCTTGATTGTTCCGGTGTTTCGGTCTAACGAGTGCATGATTGAGTGCTTGCATTCATTTTTCAATAGAATCCAGTTACTGTATGGGCTGATGCATTCTGGTTACCTAAACTGTGCATCAGGGTCCTTGATGTTCACCTATCGTCTGAAAGTTGATTCCCTTAACTATCTGACCACATATTCACTTTTGCAGTCAAATTTTACACACTAGAGCTACTATTGTGTATAAATTGCGATGTAAGCAAACTAAACTGGTATCATTGCAAACGAGTTTAGCCACCTAACTTTGTGGATGAACTTCAGTGGATTCCATTTGGAAGCTAGATTACTCAAACCATCCGAAAGCACAAACCTACTGATTACTTTTAGTTAAGCATTGTAAAATGACGTAAATTCGCCACAATCCGTTGTTACGTATAGTGTCCTCCGCGTTTTTCGTTCACCAAGAAAATTTTTAGCCAACACAAAATGAAAGCTAGATAATCAACTAGAAACTTCTGCAAATCATGTGATTTGCAGTTATTGGCGATATCTTCAAATGAGTTTTATTTTGGTTCCTTACCTTAGTGTTCGTTTGTGTATTGACAATTGGTTTTGTATGCTTGACTGTCGTTTTCGCTATAGTGTAGAATGTAATATGCTGAATCATTGAATCTTTTCTGTGGAAATAGTTCTTCAGTCAAGATGAAACTACAAGTACCCTTAAAAATACACTAACATGGAATGTGTTTTTATGTGTCAACCTCTGCTTATTATGTACTTACTAAACATCACACTAACCTATTAATCAATAAATGCACTATTTGTTTTTCAGGCATGCGAACGTACAGTTCGTTGTATGGCCTCGTGTAATACAAATGGACTTCTAAAGTATTATGCAGATGTCATTCTAAATGGGGATAATCTTATTTCATTTACTCAACCCCACAGTCATTTTGATAACGACGATTCTATTAAAAGAAAATCTACTAATATAATGGCTCCTAGAACAGATCCTTCTTTTATTTCAATACCCGTGCAAGTAAACGGTAGTACCTCTGATGTTGTTAAAAACGAATGTATAATGGAAAATGAGGCTGAACAGTCTGTGACTTCTCAACAGGTTTCATCTGATAAATTACAGAGTAGTCTTGTCACCACTGATAACGAAACAATAATTTCAAGTTCACAAGTTGATCATGCTCAAAAAAACGTTCAGAATGAAACTGTTCGCGACAAATTAATTGACTATGATAAAGCTATTCAAAATCATTCTTTGCTTACGCAACGTTTATCTGTTTGTTCTCAGCGCTTATATCACAATCACACTAGAGCGCTCAGCTTATTAACACGTTTACTCGCCTGCAACTCATCTGCATCGGAAGATGAATTACTCTCTACTGATTCCTTACCTAGTATCATATCACCGAACTTGACATATGAAGATACAGAAAGTAGTACCGACGACGAAGCTGAAATGAAGAAGGCTTTGTCCAGGTTCGTTTATTAACTCACAATAAACCCATTTGTTTAGCTCTGAACAGTCTTGGTTGTATACTCGTTCTGTAACACATTCAAACTGGCACTGGTTATGTACAGAAATAAAACGTGCTGAAAAATGTTTGAAAAATCTTTATATGTTAAAAAATAACTCAAATAATTTGGAAAAATTGTCTCAGTGTCAAAGTAGTGATGATAATAATATTGAAAATGATGATGCAGAAGTTAGTTGTTCTCGTACATCCCCATATATACATACCAACAAACGAAAACGACATACTTATCACGATCTCTCTTCACCTAAATGCATTGATGTAATAAAGGAACTACGTAAGTTGCTCGTAATCTCAACTATTGTTTTTAGACAAACGTTCTCTTGGTGATCCTCACATTAAATGCTCTTGCATTCCTCCATTTGTTGGACCGTGCATTTTATGCTGTGGGTCTGAACCAAATTCTGATCACATGGGATTGGCAGATAAATCAGGTGAACTTGATATACTTATGTCAGCTCACTCGTTATGTAGCCACATTCATCCTAAATTGTCAGTTCCAGGAGGTAGGTTTTACTTTTGCATCATACTTCACTAAATTTCTGTCAGATTTCATGTTTTTTTTTCTGTGTTTGAACTGGTTATATTCTTGTGAATGTCAACAAAAATTGTTCAATGGCCTTTTTCCATCTATACCAAGTTTCTGAAAGCCAGTTTCATTCCCATTTTATCAATTAACAGTAAAATCAGTAGTGTAAATGGATATTTTCCATATAAATGCTCACTACGCCTCTTCTGTATTCAGTTTTTGTATTTGATCA